AACCCTATATTGAATAAAATGGCAGTGCTATGTAAAGAAGAGTCCCGTTGTTAACTTTAATTAAAAGAACACAAATTATAGAGACCAGGTATGCTCCATAAGGATCTCCTGACCCCATTTTCGATTCTCGGTTAGTGTAATTGAATAAATAATTACCTGCTACAGCCTGATTCGAATTCGGAAACCGGAAAAATAAGATTATAATGCCTTATCCACTGAGCTTGCACGTTCCCTAATTACATAATGTATATAACTGTTTTGTGTATTATATATATATATAAAATGTGAAAGACCAAATTTTGAGGGGTTCTTTTTTTTTTATCGATTACAAAGGTTGATTATTGAAAATAATACACAAAAATAAGTAAATATATTCTTTGAATAATTTGATAGTGCTACTTAAAGAAAATTCCAATTATTAAGACTCCCATGACCATTCCACGTTAAAATATTCAATAAAATTTTTAACACAAATGATCAGAGTAAAAGAAAACTGAAGAAAGTTCTCGCTGCTACACTTACGATTACAATTATGAAGGAGGAACAGAGAAAAATGTTTGAACGTTTAGGGATGTGATGGGGGAGAAAGTTAATGACAGGAGGCAGTTAATTTTACCGCAGCTAGCGGAGGGATAAATATTTTTGTCTTCTCTCCCCCAGAACGTGTTCTCAGGCTCCCGTAGCTTCCAAAGTGAAATCTCATCCTCTCCTACATAGAACTATATTTCCCTGAGTTATTTGTTTAAATATGTTCTATAAACAGACAATGTTTAATGAACTTATTAAAAATCAGTCTTCCATTAATGGGACTAAGGATCTTAGCCAGTTCACTTACCAGTACGATTGAGTTCTTATTGTATCCGTTGAGGATGATTACTTCTTCTTCAACTAAAACAGAACTGAAACCAGAGGAGAGGATGGATCAAATAGAAAACTTGCCTCGAATGTTAGGATATCGTGCCAAATTTAAGCTTTATATTGCATTGACTCTTATTCAGTCGACAAAATGACTTTATGTTAATGATATTTATTTCGAAACATAATACCTAAAAAATTTGTACAAAACTTATTTATTTTTAATGAAGAAAGTTGGATCAAATAATAGATGAAAAAATTAATTTTGATAATCCTGGCGAAAAAAAAACAAATCTTGCACTGAGGCAAGTTATCATGGCCGAACCGTTTCCTGATTAAAGAACCTCTCTCAAATCTCAACCACAGGTGCTAAATTCGAGGGGGCAACGATGTCCCCCCTCACGCATCAGAAATAGAATGGGGATGAGAATATCGTTTCACCCCCTTCTCCTCCCTCCCCCCAATATTTCAAAGAATTAAAATATAATCAAAATTAACAATAAACAATCTGCATGAATGAATGGAATGTATGAACCAAACTAAATAGCAAAAGTCTACAAGATGGCTAAGTTAAGGCGTAGAAGTAGTTACGCAAGTATTTTATAATACTCTATGTTCCTATTATTGAAATTTAAGTTTATATTTAAAGATAATTATATGAAGCAATATCTCCTAGGATTTTATGATTCAATCATGTGCAATCTACCATTTGTACGTGAAGATTTAATAATATTTTCTGCGGCAAATTTGAAGTATCGGAAAATTGAGAGGAGAGTTCGTCTTACTATCACAAGACTTTAAAAAAATATATGAATTTGTAATATATTCAATTTCTTTGTTATTATATTTTCAAATATATTTGTACGTAAAAAAAAAAAACAACCACTAATATATGAAAATATACAAATTGAATATTTAATAATTGATCGTTGCATTATAAAGGAAGGAGATGGTCCTGGGTGGCGGTCATATATAGGCTAAATAGTGACAAAACTATTTTATTAAAAGCCAAAGTTTCGACCCTATTTTAGAACGCAGTTCTAAGTGAAACTCCTAGCTGAACCCACCTTCCTGAAGAAGACCTGCAAATTAGGGTCGAAACTTCGGCTTTTAATAAAATAGTTATGTCACTATTTAGCCTATTTATGGCCGCCACCCCGGACCATCTTCCTTTGAAAATATACATACATTTATTTTCATATTTATTATTCTATTGTTCATTTCACAATAACTATGTTGGGTATCTCATAATTGTTATACATAATATAAATTTCCGAGACTTTTTTCGGAGTGGTGGGATTGCCCCTCCTCAACAACCAAAATAAAAAGTTGCGCCTATGATCTCAACAGTGCTAAGATTTTACATTTCATCCTAAAATAGTTACAGATAAGTTGAATCATTAATTTAGAAACTAAAATTTACTACTATCAAGTGTATTTGTTAATCATGAACTGAGCCATATCAGAATCAATTGACCTTTTCGAAGAACTAAATAAAATTATTTAAATATTAATTAAATTCAGATTGAAATACATTGTAATTCAGAAAACAGTGATATACGTTTTTAATGTGAATTTAAACTTAATTATCCTCTGAATAGATATTTAATCAATAAACCTCATTTTCCCTATAAGTGGAATTTTTCAGAAAGAGGCGTGTGCGAAATCTACTACAGAAAGGGACCAGGATACTACGATTAAAATAAGTTTTATAATACACTATTTTTTTTTACGATACACTAATTTTAAAACTAATTAACTAATTAAATAAAAACTTTTTGCCAACGAAGATCATAACGGTTGCGATCAATTATATTGAGCACTAATTTTTAATAAAAATGGGTAATAACTGTATTTTTAATAAAAATCTAGACAGAAAATAAAAAAAATTTCCGAAAAAACTTTCTATGAATATTATACGACAACCATATTATATTAATATAATTATAATTATATAAAGTCATTTTCAATACATAGGTTCTTACAACTACGTTAACAAAAAATGGCTGTAAGATTAAAAATGTATATACTTTCATCATTATATGAATTCTCTTGGAAATTTCTGTTGCGATTTTCGCGTTGATATAACTTCTCCGAGTTGATTTATATTTCATCAGGTTGAATAATGTAAGCAACACTTTCTTCTCGTACGGCTTTTGACGTAGTTGTTCTTATAAAAATTTCAATGTTCACATCTCTACAGAACTAGATGAAAGTTAAAAGCTATGGGTTCAGACAGCTATTGCTAAGTGATTAATTTTATGACATAATATTACAAATAATACAATAATATATTACATATATTATTGTATTATAGATATATAGAAGTATGAATTTCTATTCCCTCGATTGTTGAATAATTTTTTATAGGTTCTTGAAGTTTAGTCAATAAATAAACAAATACATTTTCACGTTTCGCCAGTTTTTAAAGATTGATGTTCTCTACTCTGTATTTTTATTATATCGTTATTATGTCCTCATAAACTCTATAACATGGCAGTTAATGAAATAAAATACATCAATACAATTGAAAATAAGCACATCTCAAGTTTTTTATTTCTTACGATCTATGAAATAATAAAAAGGATTCTCCTTCAAATATTGTTTTTATGAATATATTTTTAGAAGTAAACGGTTGGTGTTTTTTTTTTCAGTTGTTTTTTGTATTTTTCAAGGTGATTTTCTTTTAAGGCTTCAGCAGTAACCCGATATTATATTAATTGGTTTTCAACTCTCCTGGTTATCTCATCTTTGTTTTTACTTCTTCTTCACCTTGACCAGGAAGACCTCAAGGGTTATCGTCCGGAAATAAGAAATGATGAGTTCATTTCGTTGAGTTCGTTTCAACTGAGTGTTCAATTACTACAACTTTATGGGAGACAACTTAACCCTTTTAACGAATATTGGTAGCACAAAAGTTTGAACTCATATAAAAAAAACAACTTATAAGGTGCTCTGACAGTAATTCTGTCCTTTTTTTGTTTTAACTTTGATTTTAAGAACATTTTCTTTAGGCAGAAAACTTTTTTTTTTTAAGTATATATTTTTTAAACCTACTTCGCTAAAGATTGGCCGATCTTTTAAAAAACATAATTATTTGACTTTCGCTTTAACTTTATAGACAAGATAGAATATATTTCCAAACTCCAACCAGGTATAAGCTACGACTATAATATCTTTTATGTTGGTCATTCGTATCATGTTTGAATTTCAGATAATTCGATATAGAATATAGTATTAAAATAAATAAAAGTGTATGTAAACGGAAAATATTTCAAATGCATTTTCTTTTTGAATGACTTAAGTTAAAGACTTAACATGCGGTAAATATTTTTAGAAAGACTTGATTGGCAAATTAGCAAGAAACTTTAAAAAGGTTAAATTGTTTTCATGATATTTGTACGTAACAATAAACTTAAATATCTTGTTTCATCATCATCATCATATCTGGAGAGACCTATCGCTGTGACTGAGCCGCCTCTAAAATCCTCTTACTAGTTGGCACGGGTCTGGTATGCAGCTCTCCAGTTCCGATCTGTTGAGCCCATAGACACTCCGTCCAGCCATCTTGCCCGATGTCTCCCTACTCTTCTTGTCCTATGCAGTTTCTCCAACAGATGTTTGCAGGTCCTGGAATTCTCCATGGTCTAGAGGCACAGCCGTTCCAACCAAATCCACCTCGTTGTAGAGCCCATCTGCCTTGGTGGTTGGGCAAGCTTCTGAGAAATAGATCAACACTGCTTTGATATGCAGAAGAAGCATCGTAATTCTTCTTTTAATTTCGATTCTAAAGAAATAAAAAATATCTTATTACATTATACAAGTAATGAAATTCGATAAAATTGCACGTTCTCAAAATATGTGTCCAAAACGTTTTATTGATATTTTTTGTGCCTAATCGTTTGACAGCATTATCTTGAAGTCAATTCGTTAGTAGGGTCGAGCGTGAACCATCTAAATTTCAAATTAAGTTTGAATAAAGATAAGCCGTTTCGTGTTTTTTTTTTTTAAGCTTAGAGGAAAGAAAACTTTTACAAAAAAAGGTGTCTTCGACAGCTGTTATCCGTTGATCTTTATCGCGGATCCAGCCCATAGTTTAGTTCCACCCTCCTACCTGACTAACCTGGATCTCCCTGTTGTTGCAGATGGACAACCCCTGCTTCGACGACGACGTCCGGAAGGGCGTGTACACGATCGAGCGACTCCCAGACTGCGCGGCCAAGGCTGCCCAGACCGAAGGCCAGAGGACCCCCAGGTCGAAGGTGGCAACACTGGCGGCGGCCCTCCTCTTGGGCACCGTCATCGTCCTCCTCACCACCGCGGCTCTAGTCTACACCCTCAGGTCCGGTAAGTATCCCTCACCATACCCTAAGCATGCTTCAATAGAATATTTTTAATTAACTTCTTATCGTTAGGATGTAATTGGAGGATTTAAACAAGCCTTCGAGTCTCAAATTCCAGAAAATAACCAGTCAACTTTTCGCCATTAAAGCGTCATCAGGACAGAAAAAGACCACATAACTGTAGGAAAGAGACAACACATCTTATACGAACAGCCAATAAAAAAAGGGTTTTGAGTTTTCAGTGTTAACTTTTATTAAAATCGGTCTCTGATATGTACATAAATGTTTATACGATGAGATATATAAACTTTTTCTAAATTAGAAAGTAAAGGGCTGGGTGTGTCTGTTCAGTGTTGAGCCTTTGCTTATTTTAAGTAGGTACTGAGACACTGCCTACGACTTAACTAGTAACTCTCTGAAGACATTCTACATTCTAAATTAAAAATTTTCATTCATTAATAACTACTGAATGTTATTTTGTACTGTTTGTTATTGAGTTTTTATTTTATTTTTTATTAGTTAATTAAATATAGAAGAATTAAAAAAAAAAAAACTTTTTTTTTCTTTTAAACCATGCAGATGTATAGTCAATTGTTGTATTCTTCTTGATAAAAAATTATAAATGTTTCAGAAAAAATATTATGTTTATTAAATTTTCGGGGAAAGCGATACATTTGGTGCTTGAAACAATTATATAACATAGTTCTAAATAATTCATAAAAGTCAAAATGACAATTTAAATTGAGACTCACAAAATTCATAAAATTCGTTATTTGCTTTCAAATAAACTTCCATGAACTTAAGCCTGCCATGGTCCGAGAGACCAGGTATATAAACGTGATTTATTTTAAACAAAATTCCACAATTTTTAAACAATTATCTTAACGAGGAAGAGTTAAAAAAATATGCGTCAACAGGTATGAATCCACTTGTATACAATGTGTACAATCTATCATAATAGATTTTTTTCAGTTACTGAATTGTAATTCCAAAATAGTGTCCAAAATTAACTAAACATTTTTTATTACATCAATCAAAGAACAGCCAATTTTGCTTCAATATAAAAAATTCTGTATGGATAATAGTTTTAAAAAAATACAGTATTTTACGCCAACCGTTATTAACTGTTTTAACGTGAAAATGACTGGTCTAAACTTAATATATTTCACGTAAATGTTGATAAAGACGTTCAAAAGTTATAATCGGCAATGTCGATAAAAATTGCCGTTTTCGAAAATAATTATCCACTATAATCCGGACCTAGAAAACTTTGTGTAAAATAAGTTACGTTTTTCTACAAGGGCCGTTGGTAATGATATTAGTTAGTCGTATTTCATTGTTTGTTTATTTTTTTAAAACTTGTTTATTGGGAAATATTACAATCTGTCTCAAAAGAAATTTTTAATAGTGTTCAGAGATCACATTCATATTCTATGTGCAATAAGAAAAAATAAATTAAACAGAAAGATAAAATAAATAACAACACATTCACTTAAAACTAAATGAATAAATAAAAATATAAAAAGAAGAACTCATGCATACCTATAAACATACTTTTAAGAGATATAAGAAAAAGTTGACTTTAGTATACTAACTACATAATTCTATGATGGTCAGTAAATATCTGCACCCCAGAGGTAAATGTAAAAGACCGCCATATCCATTTTTGTATTTGTTTAGGCGAGCTAATGTTCCATAACTTTGAACTATTATAATTTGTTTATTTGTAACGGAATCTCTACTCCGGAGGTAAAGTACCCCCGTCATGTTTTTATGTTTGTTCAGGGAGCCAATTATTCATAACTTTGAGGTGTTAAAATTTATTACTTTATGATAAACAATCTTATTTAGATTATTCATATTTTTGTGAGATTTATTTTGTATAATTATTATATTAAATCTGTATATGATTATGCTTTAAATAAAACTCTTTTTTTCTCACAATCTTTTATTTTACATTTAAAACATTATAGAAGACATACACATTTACACCAACTGTCCACAATTTATTTGTATAATTTCTACTCGTCAATTTCATTCAGACAAAGTAAGGCTTTTCTTTTTAATAAATGGCTATTTATAAGCGGCTATACTTTTCTTTCTATAAACCAGGAAAAAATGTATTCTACTTTGTACATTTTCTAAATTGATCTTTAAATTAAGAACAGTAATATACAATTACTAACTTTATATAATGTGTTTTTTTTCTTTTTCCTTTTTTACATTTTTATTAAATCTAAATTTAAGACAAAATTTATTATTCAAATAATCATTATGCACCCAATTTTTTTTTTTTATTTATTTAAAATTTATATGTATATAATTATGTTTTAAATGTAAAATAAAGGATTTTGAGAAAAAATGGTTTTATTAAAAACATAATCATATATAGATTTAATCTAATAATTATTTATTTCTTTTTTTTTATTTATTTATATGATATTTACAACTGTATACAAAAAATACATCTGGTAAATTCGCACATTGGTATAAAGACATGGAACACATGTTGAGAAACTACCCATTGGTAGCACTCTAATAATATGTCTATATTAGAAGATCACGTGGCCATCTTCTTTTCAGACGCCTCGGAGGGTTATCAGGAATCGAATAGGAAGCAAGGTTAGAGACAAGAGGGTTGGGATGGTTATGAAGTTTATTATGGAAGGACAGATATCTGGATTGGGCCAAATCTGATACATAAGGAACATTAAGGTCATTATGGATAATTTTATTTGTAACAAAGTAAGGAGCATTGAGGATTTTACGAAGGATTTTGGATTGTAAGGATTGTATGCGAGAGGAATTTGAAGGTTTGGTGGAGCCCCATAGCTCAACTCCGTAAGTCCAAATAGGCCTTATTATAGTCATGTAAATCAGTCTTTTATAATTGATTGGAAGGTTAGAGCGTTTGTCTAGTAAGTGTTGAAGTAGTCGGAAACGTCGAGCTGTTTCTTGTCGTTTCAGTCTGGTATGAGGATTCCAAGTTAGACGTTTGTCCAGATGGAGTCCTAGGTAACGGATTTGTTCAACAGGAATAAGTGAGGTGTTGTTAAAGGATACTGAAGGACAGGAAGTCATTGGTTTACGACGAAGGGTGAAGGTAATTTGATGGGATTTATTGGAATTTATTTTAATTCTCCAGCTCTGACACCATTCTTCAAGGTTTGTGATGTGGGATTGAAGGGTTTGGGATGCAATAGATGGGTCGTTATTAACTGATAGCATACATGTGTCATCAGCATATGCGGTGATGACAGTGTTGGGATGGGTTGGGATGTCAGCTGTATAAACTGTGTAAAGGATAGGACGTAGGATACTACCTTGAGGAACACCTGCAGACTGGGAAAAACGGGATGTATAGACATTGTTGTGATTTACTTTAAAGTATCTATCAGTAAGGTAGGAACGGATAATGAGGAAGTAGGTAGATGGTAGGAATTTTCGGAGTTTGTACAGCAGTCCCGGGTGCCAAACTCTATCAAACGCCTGTTCAACATCGAGAAAGGCTCCCGTACAGTACATACTGCGCTCCAATGCAGAGGATACTACGTCTACCACACGATGGCATTGCTGTATAGTGGAATGGGAGGAGCGAAATCCAAATTGGTGATTTATTTCTTAGTTACTAAATTATTTAATGACTTTAATGACTGAATTTGAGATCAATTTAATGACGATTTGGTTTATTTGCTTGTTTAGCTTTCATTGTTTCTAAGTAATTCAACTGCAGTGATATTCTAAATCAAATTCTTTCTATAATATAATTTATTTGTAGCAGCTGTAATAAACTAACTTTATATTTGTTTTTTTAATTAGTTATTTATTAATTAATGTTGTAGGTTTAATAAGAAATTATTTGAATCGTTATTACTTTAGATTGGTTGCATAATTAATTTAATTAATGCCAGTCAATTATCAAATTATATCACGTCCTATGACAATATGCGATCCATGAATAGTTAATTACGATAATTACAATTTAATGTTTCAGTTCACACGAACTACCGCTCAAGCCCAGCATCTACCAGCTCATGGGCATGTAAGTAAAATTTATTTATCACTAATTATTGTTAAATTTTAAGTTTAATTTGTAATTTTTTTTCTCATAAATAATGTGTACATTAAATAAGCAGTTTTATATATCCCTCAGCTAATAATCTTAACGAGCGGCCTGCATCAAAAAGTGTTTATTAAAAATTAAAACTGTCGGATCAATGGTATGACAACTAACTAGGATTTAATTTTTTTTTTGGTTAAGGTCTGAGTGTAAGGAAATAAATAATTAGGTGTATGTGCAAGGGGACACGGTATATAGAAAATTATCACAATTGTTATAATCTAAACAAAAATTATTTTATTTACAATTTTTTGAGTTAATTAGATAGTCGTAATGATATAACCATGACTTAGCGGTGCTTCGTATCTCAACACATATTGAATAACGTAAAATAAATAAATTTATAATTTTATATAAATAAAATCGTAATACAGTCATAAAAAATAATGATAAAAACAGGCTAGAATTTACTATTAAATATAAGTTGTGGAAAAAAAATTTTCCGTAAAATTTGAGGGTGTAGTTTTCTGATGTCACCACTTTCCCGGCCTTCAAACGAATTCTGTTTTAGCCATTTTTTTTTTCCTTTTTATTGGACACGTTTTAATTGAAACAACCCGAACGTTACAGAACCAACGAATATTGAATCATTTCAATGAATTGCTTTGTTTCCCGAGCCAAGACAAATACAAATACAGATCCAATTGTTATTAAATGGAACCTTTTCCGTCATTTGTTCTGAATATTTTTTTTTTGTTTTTTTAATAAAGTTTATGGATTTTATATAATAATTTGGAACCAAGCATCCCATAGTCATAAATTGCGATGATTTGTAGTCAACTTGATTTGCAAGATTATTGACATGAAATTGAATATAACAATTTAATTTCAAATAAATTTTATGTACTTTTGGGTCATTCAGCCTTGCGAAGATTAGAACTAAACTGCCTATTAGTATTAAATTAATAAATGACAAAACAAAAAACTATAAATTATATTATGCATATTCTTTGTAAAGTTTATTATGAAAAGAATCGGATACCTTTTATTTACGCTTAAATTTATTAGCCTTGCTGCCTAATCGATTTCATATATTTGTAATTCTATGAGACATAGAAGATTTCCTGGGAACTAATATAAAACTATAACTGAAGTGCTTGCAAAGAATAGTTCCTAGCACAGGCCCATTTCGTGTCAAATTAATCATAACACATTCACTCATATATTTTACTCAATTATAAATTTCAACATATATTTTTTTAAAATTATTATTATACAAATAATATTGATTATTTATAAAGTATTTTTTTATTATTTATTAATTGTTCGAGTTCAATTACTTTTATTGGAAATAGCAAGGAACTAACCTACCTCAGAGGATTTTATTATATTTCATATCCTTTAACTTTTTCTGTTACCGAAATGTATTTTATTCTACCTTCGCCTCTGGGGACGAATAGCTCTGAAGTAGAAGCAGAAGATAAGATGTTTTACTGTAGCTTTATGTTTAACAACGGTATTCGGGACCCTTAGGGAATTGAATTTTTTATATGGAAAAATATGTCTTCCACATCTCTATGTTGGGAAGCGTGTATGAAAATGAAATTCTTATGTGTGTATTATTTATTACAGCATTGAATAGCTCTTGATACTAAAATCTATGGATATTTCTTTCAATGACTGTAATTTGATGATCTGAAATGCTGAGAAAAGGCAAAGAATATGGTTTTCTTGTCTTGATTAAGAAAAAAAGTTTCATTTTAAATTTTATATATTTTTTAAGTTACTTAAACCTGTATCCGTAGCAACAATTAAATTATAGTGAGTGCCATGGATAAGGCCAATTATTTCTAATAGTTAGGTTTTCCCTTTAAGGTCGATTAATTTATTGGACGTCTCAGAACTTTATTTTAAAAAATAGTTATGTTCTATAGCTTCATGAATGTTGTTATTTTAGAGATGGAAAGGTAGAATCTCTAGATTTTTATCCTTATCCTAAATATATATCAAGTTGTGAACCAATTGATAACCAAAAAATTAAAATTAAATCAAGAAAAATTCTTTAGTTTCAAGCGAAACATATTTATATTTTCATTTTTACTTTTTATCACTAAACAACATTATTACAACTAAATTATATTACTTTACTTGTTTGTTTTTTGGTTTATCTTTATTTATTTTACTTTTTAATATTGTAGTTTAATTTTTTTTACTATCAATTTGAATAGCTCTATATTGCTATACTTTATTTTACAGTTCTCATTTCTTATCTATTCTTTATAATTTCATAACATATGTACAAATGGTATGTATTATTGTAAACATTTAAAAAAAAACAACACTAAAAAATAAGATAACATCAAAATAGGTTCATAACATGAGAGAATAATATCATATGATATTATATGAGAGAATAATTTTATATTTAAATCCATTTTGAATCCTTTATGATGTACTGCTTAAATGACCTGTTTTTACTTTTTCTTTTTTATTTTTATAAAAATACAATGTTGATATAACTAAACGATTATTATCTTACATATTTTTAATATTGTAGTTTTATTTTATTATTATCTATTTTAATATCTCTATGGGGCATTACTTTATTTTACAGTTCTCATTTCCTACCCATCCTTTATAATTTCATAACATGTGTACAAATGATATGTATAGTTGTAAAAATTAAAAAAAAAACACATAAATAAGGTAACATCGAAATAGGTTCATCACATGAGAGAATAATAAAGATTGTATACTTAAACCTTTCTTGAATTATTTATGAAATACTGCTTAAATAACCAAAGTTTAAGAACGGAGATATGGTCAGCAATCAAACAAACCGCCAGTATTTTTCTATAAGCAATTAAGGTTCGACATCACCGAAAATAATTTTGTTCTGCATACCCAATCTTGAATCCTTATTTTGTGAATAAAAAAAAAAACTTGTACCACACTACAATCCCTGATGGATTGAATCACTGGAATTAGGCCAGGATCATACTCAATCGTCAATTTTCTGGCCTTAATTAATTTTTTTATGAAGTTTGTCGACTTTTTAGATTTTGGGTAAGCCCCCGGAGGATCTTCCGACGCTCTGGAACTAGCCACGACTGGTGTTACTGTAATAATTATATAATATCAGCCTAGTTAGAACCCAGTACTTTGAGCATAGGATGTCTATGCCATACCCACTGAGTTATGATGCTCCCGGTTTCTTGAATAAGCTTTTATAAATTATTTTATTTTTTGTTGAAAACGGGATAACATTCAGCTGTGAAGCAATCTTCCTCTCTCTCGTAAGGTCACCCGCGATCGAGGCCGGAGTACCGGAGTACTTGAAGTAGATTCTATTATAGGCGGGAGAGAGTGACAAATTGCCGAGGGGGTGATGTATCTGAACACGGCTCTGGTCCTTATTTACCTGCCCCATCCGGCTCATGAATATTAAGTCGGGTCTGTCCCGTGTTGTCTCTTATCTCCCTCTCTCTCTGCCGACCTCCTCAACTCTTTTTATATATATCTCTTTGTGTATATAATATATTTACTTTGAGAGGTTGCTCTGTTAAACCTCAGGTCGCTTTATGGTTGACCATCAGGATCTGTCATGCGGAGGTATAAGGCGGTTTTGTCACTATTTTTTTTTTATACATATTAAGAGCGACAGTTACATTCCTGCATTTATTTTTCCTCGTGGTATAACCACTAAACGAGATCGACACTATTGAAACTATGAAGATAATTTTTTCAAACATGTAACAAAAGATGGCAGAGGCGATATTAAAATAAAATGGAAGAATGATTTTCCGAAGACGCATTGGTAAAAAAAGAGTATGGTTTATCAAGGATGCCTTTTTCCTCCAAGGTCAAAAACGCAAATTTCTCCTCCTCCTCCTAGATTCATCAAGAAACTTTATTACTGTCCTCTTGTTCATAATAGTGTAAACGAATGTAGAATTACAAAAAAATTAATTCATATACAATCTTCCCGTTTGTTTTTCCAATATGTTTAAAATCTATCCAATCTGATCAATCCTTAGTTCTCTGGTTTAAGCGTTTCTCAGCATTGAAATCCCACAAAAATTTGGTTCCTTCCAAAAATTCAAAACCGCGTAAAAATGTGCTCCCATCAAAATGTTGATGGCGCTATGCCACTTCCTTCTGGGAGGGGTGCCCAGGGATAATGGGGAAAAAGGATTTTGATTAATAGAAATAGAATGTTGGAGAATAAGCCACATCTGTTTCTCTATTTAATAATATACATATTATACGTAATATGTAATCATATTGAAAAATATAGTTTATGTAATTAGGTTTTAGCTAAATTTTTCGCAATTTTGTTAAGCGTTATACAGACAGGTGTAGCTTCATTCACACCTCCAATAAGTTCCTCGAGCCATAGATCGTGATGAAAAAAAAAAAGAGGTTTGTTACATGAATAACACTTCGGTGGTGATCTGAGCTTTCAAAGAGGAACAACTCATGCAATAAATGTTATAATATGCTCGCCTTTGAGTAATTTACTAAATAGTATATAATTAAATAGTTTTTAAAACGTTAACATGTAATTAAAGCAGCTTTCGCGGCGTTGGCCTTGGCCCGGGCTAGAGAATAGTTTGTTATGTTGAATAGTATACTTAGAGCGCCTGCTTGAATCAGGCTTGTTTTTAAAATGTTTTTGCGCTTTACAACGCTGTTACGCCGTATTGACTGCTACATTTAACTCTCATGATGAACTTAAACTGCCATGGTATTAATTATTATATCATATCCATATGTGCTTGTTTAAGGTGAAAATTTTCTTATATTATAAAATGAGGCTCTGTTTATTTTTTCACCATATTTATTTTAATTTTCATAGCTACGTTTCGGCCAGTAAACCATCTTCAAGGCATCTATAATATAAACATCATTAATATCATATTTTAATGTAATTCTGCACTCTATGAAGGTTATGTTAGTCCTATTTAATTAAATATTCTATA